GTCAAATATTACTGTTTCTACGCAGAAAACTTATCATCTAAGGTTAGTAGTGTCAAATATTACTGTTTCTACGCAGAAAACTTATCATCTAAGGTTAGTAGCGTCAAATATTACTGTTTATACGCAGAACACTTATCATCTAAGGTTAGTAGCGTCAAACATTACTGTTTCTACGCAGAAAACTTATCATCTAAGGTTAGTAGTGTCAAATATTACAGTTTCTACGCAGAAAACTTATCATCTAAGGTTAGTAGTGTCAAATATTACAGTTTCTACGCAGAAAACTTATCATCTAAGGTTAGTAGCGTCAAATATTACTGTTTCTACGCAGAAAACTTATTATCTAAGGTTAGTAGTGTCAAATATTACTGTTTCTACGCAGAAAACTTATCATCTAAGGTTAATAGTGTCAAATATTACAGTTTCTACGCAGAAAACTTATCATCTAAGGTTAGTAACGTCAAATATTACTGTTTCTACGCAGAAAACTTATCATCTAAGGTTATTAGTGTCAAATATTACTGTTTCTATGTAGAAAATTTATTATCTAAGGCTAGTAGTGTCAACATGACTATAAATTAATATTTCAGAAAATTCCTTAAAAAATATTAATCTAATCACAATATGAGTTACCGAATTAAATTCGATAACTTTTGAATGTAGAAACTAAATGAAAAATGTTAAAAGTATAATAATTATGTACTCCGATCCATGAGGTAGACAACTTATAGTAACCAGAAAACCTATCATATTTCTTTTTTTGAAATTTTGCCAAGGATTTCCAAAATTAAATAGATGGCGACAATAATTCCATTATTATCTGGATACCAATGGTATGAGATTAGTTTGTAATTGAACCTTTCAATTTTGGAAGAAAAAATTTTTTGTTTTAAGATTTTAAATTTTATAATTTCCAAGAATTGCTGGTCCCTAATTTTTAAATTCCTAAAATAAGATAATCTTGAATTCTAGTTAGAGCCGAATATTTTTATTCTTTATTTTAAACATTTAGTTTTTTAAGGTTTCAGGTGGCCAAGTTACCAACACTATACAAAGCGTCCCATATAATATATTGGATTATCTCTAAGCTTTAACGCCAAAATGAACACAAAATACTCAAAGAATCCTGGAAATATAAGAACATTTTTATATTAGTCTTATAAATCATATTTCTGAAAGAATTTAATTTTTTTGATGGTCTGTTTATTTCTGTAAATCTAGATTTTGAGCTGTGCCACATCACAATGCATTGTTGGATCAGTTTTAAGGTCTGGGTCGACTTTTCCTTCTTTGTAGCCCTAAACATTTTTATTTTAACAAAAAAGCACCTGTTCTTAAGCTTCAGATTTTACCAAGTAAATGGCAAATCTCTCAGCGATTTTTACGCTGTATGATTGATCTAGACTGGTAAATCCTGGTACTGGTGCGAATACGCTGTATGATTGATCTAGACTGGTAAATCCTGGTACTGGTGCAGATCATGCAATGATCTGACTCAAGTGATACAAAACGTTGAAGGACACCCTGTATCTTCTCTAGAATACCCAGATGAATTTAACACAATCCTAAGTTAAGGACTCCAGGGTTCAGGGGATTTAAACTAATTAAACCAAGAAACCTACTTCACAACATTCTCTTTAATCAAGAAATTGCAGAAACTTGATTTGAAAAATGCATTTTTGAGATTTATCAATCTTTTATAAGTAAATTGAAAATAGAACCAACTATAAATTTGATGTATGCCCTTAGAAATATTTAAAATTAGAATTTAATACAATTATCTAAATATTGTGGTTTTTTGGATTTTTGTTATCATTTCTATTTTTATCCCCCTAACTGTGTTTTATAACCTTATCTTTCCCTGGCCCCCTGTAAAATTGTGTTTTATAACCTTATCTTTACCTGGCCCCCTGTGCAACTGTGTTTTATAACATTATCTTTACCTGGCCCCCTGTGCAACTGTGTTTTATTACATCATCTTTGCTTGGCCCCCTGTGCAACTGTGTTGTATACCCTTATCTTTGCCTATCCCCCTGTGCAACTGTGTTTTATACCCCCATCTTTGCCTAGCCCCCTGTGCAACTGTGTTCCCTGGAAATGCACCTAAACGTAGGAATTTGCTTTGTTTATTGCACTTTGCAGTTTAACGAATGAATGATGTTGAAACCTAGAAGTTTTGAAACAGAATTAATAAATATTTGTGATCTGATTTCAGGATTTAGATTAAATTCTTGAATATTCAACCAGAAACAGAGAATTTGCATAAATTAAACTCTGAATGAACCCCCCCTTTCCTGCATTTAATGCCTACTCTCCCCCCCCCTTCTGTTAAAATATAACACCCCTTTAAAAAAAAAAAACTTAATCCTTTGGATAATGAATAATCGCTAAGTAAAAAGAAGAACATCTCTTTCTATTTAGCTTATTCCAAAGAATAGATCGTTTTATTTTTAACAAATTTTTTAAGATACATTTATTTTATTTCCGATTATATATCATAGTAAAGAAGAAAACAAATAAAATAAAATGTATGGCTTAAACCAACTAACCGGTCCCTTATTAATTCTATCTAATTGAAAGGGATATATAGAGAGATACATTTAAAGATATACAGATTTCTACTTTCTGATGTAAAAAAATTCATTTCCTTTTATTTTCAAAGATTTGTGTGTGGGGCCAAGGTGTTGGGATTTATTAGTTGGCAAGATGAAGATTGTTGGATCGTTTATTTTTATCTTTTTCTCTCATTTACACAATTTACATTGGTACTGGGACAGCAGATATGTACACAGGGGTATATAATATTACCTAAAATTTCCCTTCTCTATAGTTTTTTTTATCTTCCTGAAAGCAAAATCTCAAGAACTGACGAGGGTTAACCCAGACCGAAATATATTTTCAATAAATGTGGAACTAACATCTACTTTTTACTTACTCTACAGAGGTTTGGTCCATCACCATTACTGAATTTTAACTCTNGACTCCATATCCTTGTCATTCTAAGCTATCTTCTGAAAATTGCAAAAAGAAACTGTATTTGATATTTTATCATGCATATATTATAATTGGGACCAGATTAAATAGAAGTTAAAAATACTTGACTAGATTAAACCACTTCTCTTCAGCTGGACCCAGCGCACAAGAGAACTGGTTAAACCGGGGTACATGGTTCAACTACTTCTTCCATTTATCAAATCTTGTCCTTGGTTTATTTTATCCATCCTTTAACAAGTTAAAATACGAGTTGATGAGGAACTGTAATCGTAATTTCAAACTACCCTACAATCTAAATGCTAAGATGGCAATGCCCGATTTACAATGGTGCCCTTAAAAGTTTTGTCTGATCAAGATATTATTGTTTATAATTTTGAAAATTGTTAAATTTAATTCTCCCTACAACATTGTCCTGCACATTTTTACTGCAGGAAAACATATTGGAATCGTCAGAAATAAGCACTTTCACATCTAGAGAACCGATAATATCTTCAACATTATTGATCAGATAAAGGTTTTAATGGTACTGTTGTGTATCAGACATTACCATCTTTGCCATGAGTGCTCTTAAAATTATACTTACAGTGAATGTCTTACAAATTGAGCTGGAAATATTGCAATCTTTGTTTCACATCAGAATGAAAATTATTTTTATTTGTGCTAGACATTTCTTTGAATAATACATTTTAATTTTTTGTTTTTCTGTATTAGATCTTCTTCTATTGAAATGTTAAAATAAATTCCTGAAATAATTTAGAATTCTCTTGAATATCTTGAAATTGTGTAGAATCCATCCCTTCAAAAAGAACATTTATTATATGGTTTAAAATATATTTTTTTTTTTTAAATATTGATATTGTGGTTTACAATGAGATATTAAAGCCTCAAATGAGAGTTTTTATCTCAAATTAAATTTTGAGTTCTATTCTATGATCTTTATGTCTCCCCTAAGATCTTGAGTTCTATACTATGATCTATATGTCTTCACTATGATCTATTTGTCTTCACTATAGATCTATATGTTTTCACTATGATCTATATGTCTTCACTATGATCTATATGTCTTCACTATGATCTATATGTCATCACTAAGATCTTGAGGTCTTCACTTAGATCTTGAGGTCTTCACTAAGATCTTGAGGTCTTCACTATGATCTTTATGTCTTCACTAAGATCTTAAGGTCTTCACTTAGATCTTGAGGTCTTCACTAAGATCTTGAGGTCTTCACTATGATCTTTATGTCTTCACTATGATCATTAAACTAAATTTAAAAAAAATATATTATTTTAAATATTACAGGGAGAGTGAAGGATCGGAGTTAAAAACTTTTGAAACTCTGCGGGAGGGTTCAGAGGTTCTGTTGGTGAAAAACTTGAAGCACAGGAAACCAGTTTAATAGTATTTTTATCATTCATCACTATGTATATCTTTCAAGTTTAAGAATTAACCTAGTCTCTATTTAAAATTGAATGTTATTCTTAACATTACCATGATTATTATTCTTTAGGATAACAATATCATGCGTGTTGTGAATATTAATACTGTTTTGTCATTATTATCATTTTGTAAAAGGAGTAAATGAAAAATTTCCTCCTACTGCATTAATCTGCAAATCACTTTTCAAAGAAATCTCAATTGGAAATCATAAAACAGGAAAAGAAGGATAACATCATAATTTTAGCTCAGTCCGAGAACTAATGAATACCTAGTCAACTAGAAATGCCACACTATCGTTGGAGGGTCACTTTAAATTACATGTTCAGTCCCTTTTTAATTTGTCAATATCAATCTTATTGACAAATTTAATATTTAAACTGGTTTGGCTGCTAGGCTAGTGATAACCCTACATGAACATAGTCATGATCTCAGAGCTTCAAAGTTTTACATTCTTCTTCAGGTACAGTAGAACCCAAAAAACTGTGGAATAGGAAGACGACATTTTTGCAATCTTACTCCACTGTTTTAATCTATATATCTTTGCAAGCTGATGGTGTAAACTTTTGATACGTTAGACTTTTTTATTCTAACAGAAATATGAAATATGAAATATGAAAGGTCCACGACACATAGGTTGCATCAAATAGCATTAAACAATCAAAGTTATTGATTTTGGACTTCTTTGGAAATCAGTTTCTTTGTTTGCCTTAAATAAAAAAATTTCAATTTAGAAGGCTAAAATTTTGCATAAAGCCAACTCAATATGTTTGTTTACTATATGGACGTCTGGTGGGCGGTTTGATGATTTCCAAAAAAGCACCTTTATTAGATAATCAGGTTTTGTTGCAAGTGTAAGTAGTGCGTTTGTACAAAATAATAAGGCAATGAATTAATTTCTAGAAAAANATCAGGTTTTGTTGCAAGTGTTAAGAAGTACGTTTGTACAAAATCGATCACCTTTATTAGATAATTAGGTTTTGTTGCAAGTGTTAAGAAGTACGTTTGTACAAAATCGATCACCTTTATTAGATAATCAGGTTTTTTTGCAAGTGTTAAGAAGTGCGTTTGTACAAAATCGATCACCCTTATTAGATAATTAGGTTTTGTTGCAAGTGTTAAGAAGTGCGTTTGTACAAAATCGATCACTCTTATTAGATAATCAGGCTTTGTTGCAAGTGTTAAGAAGTACGTTTGTACAAAATCGATCACCACTATTTAACATAAATTTTTCGCTTTTTCTGTTTTATTGTTTTTTGTTAGCGTATGCGTTTAACTAAGATCTAGTAGGTACAGTCCCTTTAACTATGTGTTGGCGGGTATCAATTTCTTTAATTACGTTCTGGCGGAGAACAGTCCCTTTAAATACGTTCTGGCGGACAACAGTCCATTAGACTACGTTCTGGCGAGAAACAGTCCCTTTAAATACGTTTTGGCGAGAAACAGTTCCTCTAAATACGTTCTGACAGACAACAGTCCTTTAGACTACGTTCTGGCGAGAAACAGTTTCTCTAAATACGTTCTGACAGACAACAGATGTATGTATATTAAACAAATTTGAAAATTATAAAAGCAGTGTATAAGTGAATTCTGAATCTTTTCTCAACTAAAGGCAATATGGTAAATTTATTAGCTTTTTAATAATTTAAAGTTTATTTATTTTATTGGTTTAAAGTTTAGACGTATTTACGCCAACTATCGACTACATATAAGTTTCTTTTTTCATGAATTTGTATTTAAGAGTTTTATTTACAAGCTGTATAAACATTCTTGTATTTATATTTCAAACTCCAATACGCATACTTCTTTAAAATATAATTCGAACTATTTTTTTCTGGTCAAAGGAATTGAGTCTTTACCACAAACTCTGATTTTCTTATCTCTATATCTTTGCAACCCAATATCATAGAACTTTGATATTTCAAACATGAATTCTGTTAGATAAAATAATCTAAGTTGAAATATCAAAGATTTATACCGTCAGGTTGCAAAACTATAGGGACTAGAAAATTATAACCAGTGGCGAAGACTGAATTGAAGACTGAATTTCTTTGTGATTAAAAAGTCCTGAGTCCGAATTTAATGAATTTGCTGCGGCTTAAATTTAAGCTGCGGCTCAAATTCTTTAAATTCGGCATGTGTATTATCTAACTTGTTACAAAATTACGAAAAGAATTTTAAGATTATTCA